TCCCGTATGGACCCTGACACTCTGTTTTATGTATTCTACTATAAGCAGGGTACTGCCCAACAGTACATGGCAGCCAAGGCTCTGAAAGATCAAAGTTGGCGATTCCATAAGCAGTATCAGACTTGGTTTCAAAGACATGAGGAGCCTAAGAACATCACCGAAGACTTTGAGCAAGGCACATATCGATTTTTCGACTATGAGAGCACATGGTAAGTGGACTGACGAAATGCCAAATGGAGGCGTGCTGACATAAATGCGCAGGATGAATCGACGCAAGGCTGACTTCAAGTTTGTCTACAAGTTCCTTGAAGATGAGGTCTGATCGAAGGTGCTTCTTCAATGGAGATTTAAGTCCATTGGCCGTGTATGAGAAATATGGGACGGAGCTATCGGTTTTGGTTGGACGCACCTTGGTTTTGTGAACTCCTGGAGAGGGCGTATTAAGAGCACAGAGAGTAAGAAAGGACTTAGGCGGCAACCTCATCTTGCTTTCATCATCAGCTTTTGATGTGCTTTCTGGCACAGGTAAATATGCAACATGCTATGCGGGGCGTTATCAACCTCATTGTTTGAGATATGAATACGAACCTTTCGAGTGCAGGGCTGTCGCCCTGAACTACTATTCTGCCGAAGTATATGGTCAAATGTGTGTGGCTCGTTTGCCTCGTTATACCCGTGATCAATGTCTTCCCGAGAGGAACTGGTTCCCTGAATGGTCTAGACCCTCTGCAGCTCGACAGCCTCTCTTTCAGCCAGCGCAGCCTCGGACTCGGTAGGCGTTAGGGCAAGGCTCTCTTAGTGACGTACAATTATGTGAGGTGTTTCATTCCTCCGTGACTGACCGCACGGTGCCTGCATCGACGTGGCACGTCCTGAGCCGTAGCCAAGGTGAAGCGTTCAGACTGGTGAAATTTGAGGTCAAGTTGGGTGAACAACCCAATATCTGAGGGCTGCTGCATTGCTGCCCAAAAGTCGAGGAATGAGTTAAGAGCATTGGATTTCGCGACTACTTGAATGTAGGTAGACCCGGTCTCCATAGGAAGACGGTGAGACACTCTTTGGGTTCATCAAGTTTCCTCTTCTTGTTGTCTCGACGATTTATACACAACCGGCGTGGGCTGGTCGCATAACCGCCATCGAGGCGATGCTACACCTGTAGCACATTTCAAGTCATCGCAGACAACGTGGCTTTCGGATATGGGAAAATAGTCGAGTGGACAAAGCACAAGATGAGGACCCTTGCCGCCCCAGGCGACACAGTTGCAGTTTCGTTTCTCCTCTTAGCAATTCCTTTGGATTGTCAAACCTGAGCTGACATGTGTATGACTTGATCATTGATGACACACTTCCTCAACGATAAGGTTGCCCAAATTGCGTCGTCAGTTGTTCAGGGCTGGCGGAATGATTGCCTTGTCGCCTGTGACGCGGGCGCCTTTTCTGTGCCATCGTCATTATGCCTATCAGACTCTGCCGAGGCGACTTTCAGCAGCGTCCGCCATCCAGTGCTCTTGTCGGTGACCCATACCCTCTTTCGAATGACAAGCTTGCGGCACAGCTCTGCGCTTGCTGCTATATCGTCAAAGACTCAAAGTTAAGGGTGGCCATTTGGGTAACAAGATTGTGGCCCCCAACTGCGTCGGCGTCACCGTACAAGTCGACTGGGATTTGAAACGAAACCAATGCAGGATACAACAGGAAGGTTTCTAGAATGCTTCCATGGTTGTCAACTTACTTCGCAAAGCTTCGGATACGAGATCCCTGGCAAGCGAGTGTCAATTCCGTGGCTCGGGTGGCATGGATTGGCTTCCCGGCGAGCTTGTCACGAATGGGGAAAGGGTCATAGTGAGTCTGATGACCTTGTCGAAAACGATCATGATCTCATAGCGGGCGAACCATTTTCAACTGCTCCTCTTGCATCTGACACTTGCTACTCCAGTCAGCCTCACTATTAAGACTCCTTGAGCTTTTCCATGAGGGCTCAACTACACTATTCGGTGTGTTGACTTGCCAGGTACGATACATTGGTAAGTTTAACACTTGTATCTCGGGGATTTCCCCAGCGTTGTCTTGCAGATTCCGGGTAGGGATCCGGTAGGACTTCAGGAGAGACAAGGCCTTTTAGGGCGTCCAGGGTGATTTTCGTTCAGGCGCTTGTTGTTTTTGCTGATCACTTTGGGTGTTCTATCGAACCGCCTTGTCAATCATTTAAGACATGTCAGATTGGCCATGATACGCCTGGCTCTGATAGGCGCAGCGAATTACACAACCCAGACCACCACCAACCTTGTATCGCAAGCAGATAAGTGGGATCAGAAAGATGTGTGGCAGATGCTAGAATGACGATGCTGGGTTTATTTTTGTCTGTGCTCTGTTCTGCTGGAGACCTCGAAGGTTACTGTTGCTGGCAGTTTGCCCCATGTTGCCAATTGAGCACTGGGACTGGCTCACAGGTGCCAGGATCAAAAATCAGAATTCCTTAGCTGGTCCGGGCCCAGGCAGCAAAATATCGTTGTTGATTGAGTTAATTGATCAACAAATGGCAAAGGGGTCGCTGCGTTATTGGTGCATCTGTTGACTTCTCCATAGCGTTGAGGCTCGTGCTCGTGCTTGTGCTTGTGCTCGTGAGCATCGAGAAGTTGTTTGATGCTTGCGCCGCCGAGATCGACAGGCTATTATCCATACCCAGCGGTTGTCTTGGTGCTAATGCGAAGCATTAGATTTAGGCCACCGCATAAAAGTGCATGTTTGATGATTTTAGGTATGGATAAGACAGGCAAAGTCAGGATGGCAGATGGCACTTTGACCAATACAAGGCCGACGTTTAGAAGGAGCAAGCAACCCTGGGCTGGGGTTTCCACTACCGTAGCAGGGGCCATCGACGAGGCAGGAGCAGGAGGGGTAAGGAGTGCGAGCGATAGATGTGACAGCTGGAGGCAGGTACTGCCCGCTACCCTCCACTGGGATGGAATTCTACCTCCACTCTACAGTGCCTTTCCTGTGTACCTAAGGCGCCTACCTCCCTTACCTTAGGTGATGGAAGCCCATTGCATATTGCATTGGATTCTGCCTCGTCAAGAGTCCTGAAGACCTTTGTTCCATCCATCTTTCAACCCAATATCATTGACCGATTACCGATGAAACGGTATGGACGAATTCCTTGCCGTGTCGATCGAATACCTCACTCAATCCTCCCGTTACCGAGCACCAAATTTGTCCCGTCCCGCTGTTGTCGACGACCCTTCAAGTGAGCTTCCAACGGCACATGCACGCAAAAGCGCACTGGCCAAGCCAACTTTTCCTCTGGTAGTGACCGAAATCTGCTGAGCTGGCCTGGCACAGCCCCTATCCTAGTCCTGCCTTTGTGCGGTTTCTCGGTTATCTGTCGTCAAGCACAGCTCCTTGTTAGGGATGCGCATCATGTCAAATCATTCCCGCATCCACTGCCGCCAGCCCGTGCCAGAATCATTTGTTCCATGATCTTCAGCCCCAGAGCATCGCCACGCCCTGTTGGAACTTGCCCACCCAGAACTAAGTGTGATGACCAGAGGAGACAAGAAAACCTAGGTCCCCTTTTCTAAGCGCTGAAAAGACTTGGGCAAGCTTAGTATTCCTGAGCAAGCCTTTAGACTGGTTTATTTTTGCGCCCTGGCTAAACGTCTGAAGTTTTCCTGCCCCCTTGAGCACTTTTAGCTGTCAATTGCTGGGCGCAACCACTTAGACTCATCGTTCTCTCTCTTACCGAAACAGGCACTCGGCCAGTTTCCTAGTTTCACAGAAGTAGTCAAGGCTGGCTTTCTGGTTAGTTTCTAATCTGAAGCTTGCAGTTTGAAAGCTTCGTTCCACGGCTTATGGATACATATCCTGGACCGACAAATGCACTCATTACACACCTTCCATTGGATTTGTCCCGGGCTTGTACCTCCATGCTACTGCGACATTCGCAGATTCCGATTGAGCCGGTGTTCTATAGGGCACCACCACCTCGTAGCTTTTTATGCAAGCCAACTATTGCTGTTCCTGGGGGACCTCTAGCTGACCTCAGAGTGAGCTATCCTGGCTACCTACATTTGCTACTGTTGCATCGCCATCTAAGTCCCCTTTCCCCCTTGGGACACCGGCCAGGAGCACACCACACTTGATAGGGTGTCTCCAGTCTTGACTCGCTTCTCCATGCTTGTTGTTGTTATCTCCGTACAGCTTGACTTTACCCTAGTCTCCCACCCAAACGACAAGTGTCGATTCACGCATCACGAGCCAGCTTGCGCCAGATGCTGCTTCGCCTTAGACCCATGCCTGCCCTGTGTACTGCCACCCCTACCTTTCTCCAGTCATCGGTCTTAGAACTGGTTATCATGGCTGTCCTTCTATCAAGTTACCTAACTATGTTTCTATCTGTTCGAAGGTTGGCCCGGGTGGAGTCCGCTGTGTTCCCCGACAGCTACCCTGGCCATGTCATTGATCCTTGAACACTACTCTGGAGCTCTAGCAGTACAAGCTGGCACTCTCTTCCAATTCCGACCGCGGCTGTTTCTGGAAATCGGCGTCTCTTACAGTTTCAAGTCCATATTGCCCTTTAGCTTTGTGTATTACACAGATGACTCCGACCTTCGCCTCACTAATCAATGTGCGATTTGAGCCTCACCTTGGCCAATATCATCCCGGACTGCACTAGTTGTCTTCCCCCCCTTCACTCCTTTACTCTCTCAAGCATATAACCACCTCTCTGGTCCCTTCCATTGCTTCGATTGTTAAACCACCATCATTACATCAAGTCTCATGCACCAAACTTCTTCTCTTCCCTTCCAGGACCGCCATCAAGATATTACTTTGGTTGCGGCCTATACTTGTTCTATCTTTACATCATCTACTTCCCTCCGTAACCTTATTTACAAGCCCTCGGCTCGTCCTCTTAAACACCCGTGCTTGCTACCTTCTCCCTGATCGACTTACACTATATCAGCTTCTTTGCTCAAGTACGAGACAAGTTTTCATTATACACAATGGGATCCAACTACTGGAACAACGGCTGGTATGATGCCTCGTCACCACAGGACCAGGCCTCGTCACCAACTGGATACTCCTTCGACTATTATCAGTCACAGCCTTTGGTCAGATATGGTAGTTCTGGCAGTAACTCCCAGGCTTCGACCAGGGGCCCCGAGTCACCAACAGATAGCTACTACACTCTGCATGGCTCACCAACTATGGACGATGCTGTTTATCAGCAAAGCCATAGCTACCAACAGCATTACGCCTCTGGTCAGACAAGGGCTGGAGAATCTTCTGTGCCACGGGGCGAATCGTAAGTCCAGTTCCTATTGTAAGATAGTACATTGCTAACTCTTGTGTTTCTCAAGTGAAAATGACTGGCCAGTCTCTTGCCTTCACCCTGGTTGTACTGCTCGCCCTTTCAAGCGTACTGCCGACCTCATTCGTCACTACAAGAACACGCATGCTCCCGAATCGAGCAAGGATGTCTATCTATGTGACTATCCTCGATGCACTCGTTTTCGTGAGCCCTTCCACCGTCGCGACCACTTCCGAGACCATCTCCGCGAGTACCACTGTGAAGACATCATGAAGCGAGGCGCCACTATCAACGAAGAGTGGCTCGAAGGTCGCTACACTCCTTCTACTTGGTGGCGCTGCCCCCGATGCCTTGTCAGAGTCAACATCTCAAAGCACGGCTACGAATGCCCCGGGTGTAAGACATCGTGCGAGTCTAAGCGCAAAGAGAAGCGCCGCAGTCGATCTTGAGGTGTGTGAGCAGAGATACGGCCTTGCCCATACAATCAGCCAACCACGACGCACCAAGTATCGCATCGGATGGCTTGAAACTACAGTTCTGTTTCACTCAGGGCTTCTTCTATGACCAAGCTTACACAGACAAACCATTGGCATAGTACTGATCGCCAGCTCTGCATTATTGCTTTGGCCAGCTCACCGACACTCGGCACCATCTCGCCATCAGCCCAGCTGAGCAGCCAGCAGCTCTTGTATACATATTGTTACATCAAGGACGGCAAATCAACCTACGCAAGGCATCTTTTTCTTTTCTTTGGCAAAGACATGCAGGGAGGAAATCATTTTCTGCAACAGTCTTCGAAGCCAGGCTTTCTCAGCCTTGGCCTTTTTCCCTTCCTCATTCCTGCCATCCACACTCACACTCTCTAAGACGTCCTCAAGATCAGCAAAAACGCCTATGCGCCGCAGATCTTATCCCCACTGGGGGGTTGCATCACGCTGAGGCTGACTTGAGAGAATTGTTCTAGAAGCGGGGCTGTTTGCGGGGATTATTTCAGCGTGGCTGTGTGTGTCATGCACGATGCTTCTGTCATGCTTCCATTCCTTCTTTCGAGTTTCCTTTCTTGGCTAAGGTTTCTGGGGTCTTACTGGGGTCCAGGACCAACTGAAGGCACGGAGATAAGACGTCTTGGTTATTGGACGGATGATCACGCAGTGACGTTTATGATGATATATGAGGTCGATCCTATTTATTAGAGGCTGGTGTTATTTACATAGACGGTGGGAGTTTTGTTCGCTCTGTACAGTCTTGGTTTCTGGCGCATTTAGAGGATCTCTTTTTCTGTATACACCCTTGTTGTATTTTACATGTACCTATGATCCCATGATACCTACAGTGTCCTACCTCGGAAATGTTAGAATTGTTGTTATCTCTTTACCCTTCAATGTGACACACATCTAATGTGGTAATTCCCCTGGCTTGAGCATGTGTGACGAGACAAGAGACGAGTTGCAATCTGAAGGCTGATCCATCCTAAAGGACCCCTGTCCAAGGTACCTGGATGTTGTACCGTGTTCCCCGCCATAGCTCAAATGTAGTGGATGGCTTCCACAGCAGCAGCCGGATGTCTTCCCCAGGTAACATTGCGCCATATGGCGCACTATATTTCCAGCTCGTGACCACATACGTAGTTTGCGGCTTTTCTCGTCTGGAGTCCCTGGATGTCCTCTGACTCACTTTGTATTGATGCGCTAGAATGCCCTGAATCTTCAAGGTTGCAACTGCTTACCCAGCCCGATGAACAAGGTTCCAAATCAGCTTAAAGCGTAGGAAGAAGTATGGTTGGGGGAAGTGAACGAGTCTTGTCGATTTGGTCTGTTTATATACATCTTTCGAAAAACATAGATCTGATTTTGGAGAAAGTGGCTGATTTGAGGGTTCCAGCTAACTCTCCATTAATCATCTTATCTCCGAATCCCCAAAGTTAATCCTCCTCGAGTGGATCGTCATTGTAGTTTGGCATGGTGCGGAAATCAGGCCGCCCCTTATCCCTGCGCCTTCTAGATCGTTGCCGTCTTCCCTTGCTCCGTGACGCATCCAAGTAAACTGGCGATTTGGTGGAGGGGACGTCACTAGCCAATCGACCAACAAAGAGCTGCGGTTGATGGAACTTGAACTCGGCATGCAGCGGTTGAGGCGAGGAGGGTTGAGCAATGATAGAGTCGGTCGCGTCCGCGATATCTACCCTTGCGGCGGTCTCCGATGACGGGGCTTCCAGCTCTGCGCCCGGTATATCTTGAAAATGGTCATCTGCCAAAATAAAGTTACGTCCTTCCATTGTCGGTGTTTCTCCTCGGGATGCTGAAGGGGGTTCTGCGATATCGCTTGGCGGTGCGCTCGGCTCTGAAGGCAAAGGTAATTCTGCAAACATTCGGGGAACATTTGGCTTCTTGAAACCCAGTGCGCATTTGGTCTGTTCATGTGCCTCCTCTCGAGCCTTTCGGCTGGTCTCGGCGCTATCGTTATCGAGAACAAACTTCTTCCAAATTTCGTCTTCCTCGTCAGCATTTGGTGTTGTTTCTTGTTGGGTTGGGTCCTCAATATTTGGCTCCTGCTGTTCCTCGCTAGCAGCCAAGAGATCCAGTAGGTCTTGAACATTGGGAGTCACGGGCATGACGGAGCCCATTGGAAGAACCAGGTCGCTTCTCGTTTTGAGACTATTCTCACTTCTTTCGTAGCTCGAGCTTCTAGGTAGAGCGCAAGGACTTGTTGCTGGCGGGTTATCAGCAAATTGCTCTCTTGCTTGAAGCTCGGGTAGCTCTTGTTCGTCATCCAATGGCTCGTGTTGGCTCTCAGATGCAGGTATGCTAGATGGGTACGTTTCCGAAGACCTTGGTTGTGGCTCCTCGTTCGCATGTAATGAGTTCTGTCCTTGGTTTTCGCTGCTTATCAGATCTTCTGAATGCGACTTATCATTGAAGGTGTTCATATAGTTGCTTAGACTCGGGCTGATGGGTCTTTGGGGCCCCTCATCTCGACTTGACTGAACGGGCTGCTGCTGTCTCCCTTTGGTAGTTGATGCCAACCACATGTTCCATCGCATGTCTTCGACTGTGGGCCTATCAGAAGGCCTTGGAGTACCAAAAACAGCTATGGTACTTGCACCTTCATCCAGCTCGGGTGACTTAGCTTCAATCACCTGGTGTCGTCGCCGAGTTGGCTGTGGTTGATGGATGATAGGCGCATGAGTTTGCACAACGTATCTTCGTTCATCATTTTGTCTTGCTAGCCATTCCTCCTGACCCAGGGATCGCGCTACAGATGAAAGGCTCGTGAGTGGATTACTTCGTTCATTATGGGTTTGAGATACTTGAAAGTCGTGGGCTCTTGGGGACCTCTCCCGTTGATGATGAAGACCGCGAGGTTGTTGGTGGGAAGATAGAGACGCTTGGCTCGTTGCATTATCGGATTGTGGGATATCGAGACGGGATATAAAATCTTGTCGTGTTGCATAGCTTCGAACTGAGTTGCTATCCCTACTCCATCGCAGGTTTTGACTCCCAATATTAATCTCAATGTCGTTCTCTGAAAGTCGACCTAAGGTTCTCTTGCTGAGTTGATCCTTCGGGTCAGGACTGTATATCGATCGGTGGCCACTCCTGGAGGTTGGTTTCGTAAGCAACTTTGTGGATCGATCCCTTTGTTGAGAGAAGTCAACCGTTACAGGCTTTTGAGTAATGACGCCGGTCCAGTCAGCCTTCTCTAATAGCCTGCGTCTTTTGGTTGCTATGTCCAACTCTTGCTTGTCTTTGTCTTGCGGACTCGTCAGAGAGCTCTCGGCTTCTGGCCCCTGATTTCCGATGTGTGGCTCTCTCTCTCTTCCGCTTCTTTCCTTGTGAGAGTTTTCTGTCTCAGACTGTCTATGTATAAGCTTTCCTCTTGGTGTTCTTTGCTTCCGGCGAGGGGTCGAAGAGTTCGACTGACGACCTTGAGATGACGGTGGCTGTGGAATATAATCAGGTACGAAGGATGAAATATCAAGGCCCTTGCTTGTAGCTGGTGCATTCTTTCTCGCTCTGGCTTTAGCAAAGTATTGTTTTTGTCGGGCAGCGTCTTTATCCCAGCCTTTTCGACGAGAATGGCGGGCGAGAGCGCCTTCAGTCCAGTTCATCGTGGGTTATGGGATCAGCCCTTGAGTGTGTGTTCAAGTTTTGGTGCTTAGCTACTGAAGATGCGTCCTTGATTAATTATTTTATGGGGGCACGTGAAAAGGTGATGCAATATGGCAGTTATCAACAACATCGTACCTGCCATCTCTGGCATTGGAAGCTTACTTGCCAACTTTGGATTGCACAGTATGGAAGCGTCCGAATATTGAGTATCTTTTGGTTGACAGAGAATCCATAGCCTCAATCAATCCAAAACAAGTCTAAGAAGATTGATCTTTCGGGTTAATCACAGCTCGAGAGAGGCGAGTGTAACATTGTTGGACTCATTGAGCAAATACAATCGATTGTCATCACGAAGCCATCGTGCGGTATCCGTGGGCGAATTATATAGGTTCAGTACAATAAGACTCTAAGCATTTCTATATCAAGAGCCCTCTCAGAATTATTGATCCTACATAATATATCATGGTACTATCAATCTCATGCTAGGAAATGTCTTTCGCGAACTTACACGATCATCTATACAGTGCTAATTGGTGGCCCAAGACACGTGCACACGGTGCATGCACAGGCCAGCTAAGCTTCAACGTGATGACGGCGGGGAGCTCCCTTTGTATCGAGTCCCTGAACGTGGAGCTACATCTCCATTAGCATCTAGCGCCAAGACGACACATTTCAACAAGAACGACAACACAATCCATACAGAATTGAACAATATACACTTCAGCCAAATAACACCTCATCATGGCCGACGCAGAAGAGAAGGCCCGCAAGGAGAAGATCGCTGCGGCCAAGAAGCGTGTTCGGTTACCCCTCCCTTCTTATCCTGGCTGCTTTCGCTAACATTGCGACGCAGGTCGAGCAGTTGAAGAAGAAGAACAATAAGAAGGCCACTCCAGCAGCAAAGCAAACAAAACCAGAACCAGCCGAAACCGCCGCGCCTGAACCCGTTGCTGAAAAGGCTGAAGCCGCCCCAGCAAGCGAAGAGAAAACCACTGAGGAACCCAAGAAGAAGGCTCAAGAGAAGCTACCTGCTAAGGAACCCGCGCAGCCACTTAAAGTGGAAACCCAGGAGAGCAGCGACGAAGACGACGATAGCGATGAGGACAGCAGCAGTGACGAAGAGACCTCGGCTTCCGCTACCCCCTCTCTCGCCCAACAGTCGAAACTGAGATCTACATCATTTCGTGCCGGCTCCGTTACCTCAGGAGGTGCTGCGCCTGCCAGCCCTTTCAGTCCCGATGGCGAAACTGCCCCAGATATCTACAGAAAGCACATGGCGAGGATTGAAGAATTAGAAAAGGAGAACAAACGCCTATCTAAAGAAGCAGCAGACTCGGAGAAGCGATGGCAGAAGGCCGAAAACGAATTGGCCGACATACGAGAGGCCGATGGTGAAGATTCAGAAAAAGCAGGTGGAAAAGAAGATGGGCTTTTGGATAGCTTGGTAGGTATTAACGCGTGCAACCACAGCGGCGCTCAATCCGCTAACCTTTTCACAGAAGAGCCAAGTCGCCTCGCTTCAACGTCAAAACACCCAGCTCCAACAACAGGTATCGCGAGGACCTGGTCATGGCCACCGTCCTTCCATGTCTGTGGCCTCACCTCCGGCAGATCTGAAAGTTGAGCTCGAGGCCAAGACAGCAACCATTGAATCTATGGAAATTGAAATCTCGAAGCTCAGAGCACAGGCAGAAAGACACGCCAGTGGATCATCGTCCGAAAAGGAACAAGTTACTGCTCTGGAGGACAAACTAGCCCGTGCTGAGGCTGCAGCGGGTAAGGCTCAGCGCGAACTACAGGACCTCAAGCACAACCTCGAGAGGACAGCAGAGAAAGCAGTCCGCGAAGGTAGCGAACGAACAAGTGCTGAGACCAAGATCAAGACTCTCGAGCACGAGCTCGAAGAGGTAAAGAGCGCTCGCGATGAGCTGGAGAAGAAGGTCGAAGCATTGGGTAAGAAGGCGACGACCCTGACTACATTACATAAGGAGCAAGATTCCCGCTTACAGGCGATCAAGAAGGAGAAGGAGAAGGCAGAACACGATGTCACAGAGTTGAGGGCACAGGTTGAGAAGCTTGAGAGCGAAAATGCAAAACTCCGAAGCAGGAAGTCTATGGAGGGTGGCGGCGGATTAGACGATGAAGGTGTTGATGAACTTGAGGACGAGGAACGCCAGAAGCTTGAGAGAAAGATCCGAGCGCTGGAGAGCGAAGTGCATGAGCTTCGAAGTGGAGCATGGATTGAGAAACGTCGCGAACTGGAGGCAACTAGCCCAGGCTTCCATGATGTCGACCTCTCTCCTGGTCATGCGATGTCTCCAACGCAGCGTAGGAAATCAGGACCTGGAGGAGGAGGCATTGGTGATTTCTTTACGAGTGGTCTCAACGCCTTGGCAGGTGGTAATGATGATGATTTCCTTGAGGACGACGATATGGACTTTGACGAGGATGCATTCCGCAAGGCGCAAGAGGAGGAGTCAAAGAGACGGATCGAGCGGATCAAGGAGATTAAGAGATCACTTAAGCATTGGGAAGGATGGAGGTTGGATATTGTCGAGAACAGGAGGGGAGGAAACGAGGGCGTTGGTGAGATCTTTGACGTTTGAGCTGATACAGGATGTTTGCAGTGTTGCTGGATGGACGATGCCCAACCAAGGAATGTATATTAGAATAGAAAGTGGTTCCGGGATGATAAACGGAAAGGATATTGATGATTATTTTCAGCCACTGTGGCATACCTGTTTCCGGTTTTGTTTCCGAGACTTGATGAAATATGAGTTGATAGTCTCCTACCCTGAGCTTGATAGGCACGACAGAACGAAGGGGCATTTCAGTGCTGCTGTAGTACCCATTGGTTTCGACTGAATGAGGTATTTAAATGCCAGTTCATTCCTTCACTGTCGGAGGGCCCGTGAACTGGGCTCTGGATTCCCGAGGGACAAGTACGTATCCGACTCCAACAACGGCACATATACCAGACACATAGCTGTTAGGAAGCGTGTTGGAAATATGCTTACCCAGAGGCAATCCTTGAGTTGGAACTATATTCGAAAGCTCGCAATCACAACATATCCCGACTCTAAAACCCGGCATCGAATGTCGGTATCTCATTCCCTTTGCTCGGACATCAACCGAATATCGTCCCCCGATGACGGCGCGGAGAGTGGATACCCTGACCGGAGATCCGAGTTGGAGAACGGAGATGCGCTCCGCGCCGAGATACAAGAGGCCGGGAGGTGTTATTCCCGATCGAGTGTGCCAAAAGGGTCATATAAATCATTCAATATGAAGCTCAGAGCATCATCATGCTACCTACACCAGATCGAAGATCTGAGGCTTGCATCGGACCCGCTTACTTCCGGCTCATGTTTTGAGGTCGACCACCTGTAATCGTATCAAAATGCAACTGAGAAGCTTCCGCACTCGGCGACAGTAACACCGAGATGAGGCAAAAAACGACAGCAGCTGTCATGCACGAGATGTAGCGCCTAATTTAAAGCCAAGCAGCCATAGCGTCCGGCGGTAGTCGTCGTCCCCCACTGAGCGGGGGACCAAGTGCGGAACCCATCGACACTAGTGTTAACCGTCGAGGCTGGGACTGGCTGGGCATTTTTTCTCTCTGCGTAGTCTGCTTGCAGCTTTTGATGCGGCGCCCCAGCTCGGTCAGGTACCGAGCCTCATCCCCAAAAGAACCTGGCAGGAAGAGAAAAAGGAATACTCGAGACACACCCTGAGAGTTGGGGGGACGTAATTGAGGCCATCAGGGGTCTAGAGACTCTCGAAAATCATCATGAGATGGTCAATTGAGGTCAAGTTGAGCTTCATGTTGGACGAGAACGTCATATGTAGACACTTTAGATAGAGAGACTCGACCCCTGTCATATCACAGCATGCGATTGTCTAAAAAGATCATGTCAGCCACGTTTGATATCCCGCACCGCATCATCCGTCTTCGGCCTTGGACCCTACGAGGCTAAAAGGAAAAGAGAACAGTCCGTTGTCGGAAGAATTGAATTTGAATGTTCCTTTGTCCTTCCTATTTCTCTCTCTCGATTTTGGCTGAAATCCCATCTCTACATCATCAACATTGTTTCTCGTCAACAGCTTCAGCACCAGGAGAAAACGACGTTTCGATCGAATCGAGTCTTGTAAGTGCAGCTTTTATATGTCATGTCGTTGCTAGCTTCGCTCGTTGTCAGTGGTCAATTGTCAGCCACAACAGGTGTCATGATACGGTTGTATCGTCATTGACCAACGATATTCTTCATGAGCACTTTAGAAGGCCGCAATGCCTTTTCTAGAATCGCCTCATCTGAGAGTTCCAGCAGCTACATACTACAGATCTGATCTCGGATTGGATCATACATATTTCTGCTGAATTAAAGATGCACTATCGATGTCGCCGTGGTCCCGTCAGGACATACATGTCCTAAAACTCACACCCCTCAAGGCCCAGAGCCCAGAGGCAAAAGAAAACACTCAAAACATGAATCGCCTCATAAACCATTTCCCCTCTTCCCATTCCTGCTTACGCGCGCATCTGTAACTAACACCTGACGAAATTCCCCAGCTTCCAATTCGACTAGCGGCGCCTCTTGATCAAATTCACCCCGTCTCATTGGGGGGGAAACCACGCATCCATCACACCTGCCTACCCAACACTTACCCCATATTCTCCTTCCCCCGTCGCATCGTCGGTTTTCCTCTCGGACGCCGCACATCAACCGAAAACCTATCCTCGGTTGAAAGTTTAGAAGGTGCAAAACCACACCCAAAGCACCTTCCTGAACCCGACCTCCGACCTCCACGCTCCACTTCCGACCCCAAACCAACCGCTTGCCCGTCCGTGTTGCAGTTACACCCCGCGCTGGGCACTTGCACTTACAGTTTGTAACGACTAGACTAGCGACTCAAGGAAAGGAAAGTCCCAAGTCGAGCCAAACTTCCGGCGACGATTCCCGAGTCCAGTTCCCGTACCTGGCTGCCTTACCGTACCCAGACCCTTTTTATACCTCTTTTATAAACTCCCAACTTCTTCCTCTTCTTTTTTTTTCGCCCATCATGCCCGCCGCTGTCTTCGCCTCTTCAGTTCAGCGATCTCTTCTCTCGTCTTCGCTGCGCCGTGTCGTTGTTAGTTCATCCGCCATCCGCCCTGTCCGAGCTTCCTTCGGTGCCATCCAAACCATCTCTCCCTTCGCCGTCCGCACAATGGCTTCCCACCATAAGATCAAGGTCAAGAACCCCGTCGTCGAGCTCGACGGTGATGAGATGACCCGCATCATCTGGCAGGTCATCAAGGATAAGCTCATCCTTCCCTACCTCGACATCGACCTCAAGTACTATGATCTTGGTCTTGAGTACCGTGATGAGACCAACGATCAGGTCACCATCGATGCCGCCGAGGCTATCAAGAAGTACTCCGTCGGTGTCAAGTGTGCTACCATCACCCCCGATGAGGCTCGTGTCGAGGAGTTCAAGCTGAAGCAGAGTAAGTTCATTTCCAGTCCGACCCTGTCTTAGTTCGCGTTGCACCTCGATGTTCACCCCGCCAATCGCAACCCCGCATACATGAGGCATGCAGGAAAAGCAACATGAGGGGAAACAAGCAGCAGCAAAAGCGAATGAAACCTGCAGTAGTCAGCTTAACAAAATTGAATTCGGCTAACTTGCATGTCCAGTGTGGCTTTCCCCCAACGGAACCATCCGAAATGCCCTTGGTGGTACCGTCTTCCGTGAGCCCATTGTCATCCCCCGCATTCCCCGTCTTGTTCCTGGATGGAAGAAGCCCATCATCATTGGCCGTCACGCCTTTGGTGACCAGTACCGCGCCAAAGATGCTGTCCTGCCCGGCCCTGGCAAGCTCTCCATGGTTTACACCCCCGAGGGTGGCCAGCCTCAAGAGATTGAGGTCTTCCAGTTCAAGAACGGCGGTGGTGTCGCTCAGACCCAGTACAACACCGACGAGTCTATCACTGGTTTCGCTCACGCTTCCTTCAAGCTGGCTCTTGACAAGGAGCTCCCTCTCTACATGAGCACCAAGAACACCATCCTCAAGAAGTACGATGGTCGATTCAAGGATATCTTCCAGGAGATCTACGAGTCCACCTACAAGAAGGACTTCGAGGCCAAGAAGATCTGGTACGAGCACCGTCTCATTGACGACATGGTCGCCCAGATGATCAAGAGCTCTGGCGGTTACATCATGGCCCTCAAGAGTAAGTCCATCCTCGTGGTTTGAACGCTTGTTCAGGCTCTTTCTACTTGAGACGCATGAAAGCTAACATTTACAGACTACGACGGTGATGTCCAGTCCGACATTGTCGCTCAGGGCTTCGGCTCTCTCGGTCTCATGACCTCCGTTCTCATCACCCCTGATGGCAAGACTTTCGAGTCTGAGGCTGCCCACGGTACTGTCACTCGCCACTACCGTGAGCACCAGAAGGGCAACGAGACCTCGACCAACCCCATTGCCTCCATCTTCGCCTGGACCCGTGGTCTCATCCAGCGTGGCAAGCTCGATGACACCCCCGAGGTTGTTGCCTTTGCCGAGAGCCTCGAGCAGGCTTGCATTGACACTGTCGATATTGACGGTATCATGACTAAGGATCTTGCCCTTGCCACTGGCAAGTCTGAGCGCAAGGACTATGTCACCACCAACGAGTACATGGATGCCGTTGAGCGCCGCCTCAAGCGAACCCTCAAGGAGAAGCTGTAAACACATTGCCATCTGTCGTTTTTCACAGCCTCCCTTTAGCCTCTAATTCCGCTTCCACCTTCCTGGCCTCTTATGCCTCCGCAAAGAGTAGCCGCTATTTCATGAACTCTTAAAGATCGGCGTCGAATATGTTGTCACAACCTGAATAGCATCTCACAGTCTTGAGAACCACAAGAGCGTCACCTCTTGCGATCTCTTGGCCACTCACTTCCTAAGAAGAGAGGAAGTTGGCGTCGTCAAGAGTAATCATGAACCGGAACCTTCTGCATAGACACATGCAGTGGGCTAACGACTTATGAAAAGCATTCCTCCATCGTCATTGTGGTTGGATAGGATGTTGGGTTTTCTGAATATGTAAAAGCAAAGATTTGAGGAGGAGACAGCATGTATCATGCCGCCAAGTATTGGAAAGCAGATGCCATGTAGAAAGCAAGCTTGTTCTTAGCATATAGACAAGATGGGATACCCAGCTTTATAGTTTTCTTCACCTAGATCTTCCCCGGCCATTCGCATTGTGACCACTCGTTCCCCATAGTGCATTCCTCCTAGTCCTCCTTTAGTCGCGGATCAAAGGGTGTTAAGAGTCATAAGATGTGCTCAAATTGAGCTTAAAGCAAATCTATTGGACCTCGAAACATGTCCCTGGACCTCTTCTCACATGTACGATACATCAATGCACAGCTGCTCTTGGTAGATGCCGCTTCAGACGCCTCTTTTTGTCATCCTGCTTGCTGTCAAACCTCGGTAGTTGTCCGTAGCTAGCGTAACCGACACCCAATCTCCAAAATAATTCCCTGTTTCAGAAAAGCAACAATAGCAACCAACTCCCTGTTTCCCTTTTCCCCCGTTCCAAAGAAAACAGATGTGCGTGTTCCTAGCTTCAGCGTCTGTATGCAGCCCCGTGGCGGGGAATGCCTCGGCTTAAGCCCGCACGTGTATATAAAAATGAAAAGGATCGTATAAAAAGGCTGACATCAAAGACTGACAAGTACAGAGGATAAACACACCCGTAGGCCCGGGTTGACCCGATCGAGATGGCCTCGGTTGGCCGGAAGGAAAACCGCGGTTGTCGAGGCATGCTATTCTGATGCCGGGGATTTTCGCATACATACGGATTCTGTCCGTAGGGCTCCGTTATTCGATTTCGATATGTAGTAATACAATTTTGCAAGTTTTGACCATACAGTCGAGAGCGGCTACTCTCGCTCTAACAATAGCACCTTTGATTGCAAGGGTGCGTTGCGTGTCTGGACACAGACGTATCTGATCAGCCCTATGCCGGGCCTATTCAGCAGAAGCTAGAGGCGCCTCCTTATCCTTCTTGGACTTGCGTGCGCTTGGTGTTCCTTCTGCTGCTTCGCTCTTGCGCTTCTTCTTCGTTGGTCTCGTTGATGAGCCACGAGGCTTGTATCCCGTGTCATCTTCTGCGTTTCTCTTGCGCTTGCCCCTCACAGCAGGTGTTGAGGCAAGCTCCTGATCCTCATCCATGCTGGCGTCCACATCACGATCTGCGGCTGCGGCTGAGCGAGCTGCAGCACTGACGCGCTTACCCCTTGTGCTGGCTCTTCCACCGCGCTCACCTCGTGATCCACGCGTCTTACGCCCGCCGGTATGGCCACCTTCAGCATCGTCTGCGTCTCCATGTGCTTCTCCGTCCTGGAGGAAAATCTTGGGGGCATGTTTGCGCAGCCAATTTGTCACACTTGTAGGATTCTTGAGATGAGGATGTGATTGATGGTGGTTGCCAGGATGAGCGCGGGGAGCGAGTGTAGGAAGCATGTTCTCAGGGTCGAGGGCCATGTCGATTTCGTAGATGTAGTTGTCGATGTCATCGGCAGATAAGAAATCGGCAGGATAAGTTTCGCCGTCGACAGCCTTAAGATCGTTTACGATTTGTGGTAATGTCTCCTTGGCGCTGCTGTATGATGAATGAGGCACACTCTTGACGAGGTCCTCAAGCTTCTTCTTGGGTGTGTCTTTATGTAGCTCATGTTCTTCATCCAGGGGATGGACAAGCGCATCGGCTTGGGTTGGAGGCTCGAGGGATACATCGACTTGTTTCTCGGGAGGAATTTGAGGCGAATTGTTGATTTCGAGTAATAGATCCAATAAGCGGCTATTGATAGTAGGTTAGTATCGTGTCTGCTGGTAAATGGTTGATGGACTGGAGATGGCCTACTCGTTCTCAACAGCCAAGCGCTTGACCAATGCAGCAGCCTTGTCTTCTTGCTTGTGCAACTCCTCGCCATCATGCATCTTGTGATCGAAAACGATGCGCATCTTTCTATACTTCTTCTTCCATGATTTGTACCCAGCGCGATGACGAGTGGCGCCCTCTGTCTTAACGGGGGACTCGTCCATTGCGAGGGAGGCTGTGATGGACGCGCGATCGGGCGAGAGATATCGTCAACGAATGAAACGCGCTGGGGGGGGGCGGCTTGCGAATATAATCGAGATACGAAATGATCAATCGCGTGGTGTTTTGTTGATGATACGAGTTGGCGATGTTTGCCGATGCTGAAGGAAACAATGGGACAAGTAGAGAGTGCCAATAAGATTTGATGTTTTGGCGCATTCAGTTCTGTTCAGGGCCAGGCCAGGTCGAACCAAACCAAACCAAACCAGGCTGTGACGGGACCTACGGGTCTCTTCCATTCAGGTGGTGTTGTTCTCACATTAGATCGGTACGTACCTTACAGTAGCTCAGGCACCCTTGGCGGTTAGGTTCAAGGTTGCCCCCAGATCAGCTTCTCCAAGCCCGGTTCTAAAATGTTCCGCTTAACGACTCGGAGAGGTTTAGGGTAGCACGCGACAGTAAAATGCAACTTTGAGGATGTCAGAAGAGGCGTGAGATTGATGAAAGAAGATGATTAAAGCAATGTCTTCTTTTGGCTACTTGCTTCTGTTAGCTACTCGTCCTTATTCTAGCCATCACACATAGATTCAGCAACAATGTCTTCAGTGATTCATGAACACATCCATCAACAGCACACCATCTCACTACTCGACGAGGTGTCTTAGAGTACCTTGCAAGGAATAGTTTGGAGCCAAGTTGCAAGCTTTTATTGTGCCTTTATGATCCGGAAATCTCATTATCTATTCTGTAAAGCCAACGCATCATGGTGACACCTCCTTTCCTAGTGTGTCTAGTTCCTCCTTGATGAACTCGGCAGCATTCATCATCTCTGTGCTGCCATATACAACCCTCTTCTTAGCCCTATCGCCCCCTGTTCGACTCACCCACTCCTGCAAGTTACCATATTCATCAATGCTACCGCCACCAACTGTGAAAACGACAGCTTCACTGAATCCTTGTCTTCTTTGACCAAAGCTAGCTGTCTGTCCGGACACTTGGGAACCAGGCATGCCACCTGGAGTAGCTCCAGCCCCAGACCGCATGGCACTTGGTGCAGGCATGCTGCCTCGGGCATTGGCGGATCTAGGATCGTAGTACTTGTAGTCCTCTGTCTTGGCTATAGCTGAAGAGGAGGCTGACGAAGGATCCATGATCGATTCGACGATCTTCGTAACTGTGAAATCGCGATCGACAGGGAGGAAGTTTTTCACACCGCTGATGAGGCTCTCAAAGTTTGATGACAAACCAGTGGGCACGCCTGATTCTTTGAGGCGGTCGGTGAGACGAGATGACATAGATGAGAAGCGGCCGAAGAGGTCTGAAGTTTGAGCAGGCTGAGCAGTGTTGTTGTTGATGGTAGTGAGTTGTGTCATCTTGGTTGTAGCGCGAACCCTGTCTTGATCAGTATACGCGAGACAAATCAATGCTTTTAAAAAAACTTACTGTCGAACGTAGGGCAGACATGACACATCCGCGCCAGCTTCTGAGAGCGCCTTTCCGAAACCCTCGAATTCTTGTCGGTTCACTTCTTGTTCTGTACTCAAGTACCAGATGATGAACAATCGCAGCTTATCAGCGGGTTCAGAACCCTTGGTACTGTCACTAATAATTTCCATAATCTGAGGTTTGGTCTGCTTCACAACATTCTCCTCCAGTTGGAAATAGTTGTCAAGCTGGCGGTCCTTGATTCCTGTCAACAAAGCCGCCAGGATGTTCATATGCATGTCGAGGATGCCTTTACGTTCTCTCATTTCAGGAAGCAACGTTATCGCCTCCTTGAGATGCTGAGCGCTAGCGCTGGTGTCGGCCTGCAAGTCCTCAAAATTTGTAACACCAGTCCTTTTCGTAATCGCAGCTGTTTCTTCTTTGTACTTGGTCAATTCAGCATCGATATCCTCCGCTACTTGAGGGAAAGGGCTGCCAGCGTTCTTGGCCCAGAAGAAGTCGTTTGTAGTCAAATCGTAACCCTTCTTCGTGGGACCCTTGGCAGGGTTTCCTTCTTCCGCAGGGCTTTCGATGGTGATGCGGTTGAGCTTCATGTTGAGAACATCGTGAACCAGACTTTGATATGTCCAAGAATGAGAAAGCATTGGCACCAAGTCAACGTTTCGATCGAGAAGAATGAGTACGGGTCGGGAAGAGTGAGTATTGGATGAAGCGTTCGTTCGCGGTCCAGAGAAGAGGTTGTCCTTTGAGTTGAGGATATGATCTCGGAGTTTTCGGTCGAGTCGCGCGGCGACCATATCTGCAGGACCGTTCTTGGGGCATCGGATAATAGGAATGACTCCTGTAAGATTTATTAGCATGTCGAGTTGAACACATAATGTCTGGCATACCCATAGTAGCAATCACACTGAATAGACCGCTAACGATTTTATCCACTACGCGATCAAGCTCCTCGTCGCTGGTGTTTGCACTGTTCAATGCCCAATATGTATGCTCTTTTTGCATGCCCAGACTGAATAGATCTGGTTCAGCGACAATGAAATTTAAATATTGGTCAAAAAGCTGAGCAATGTGTTCGGATGTTCCAGCAGCAGCAGTTTGTGTAGCGAACTCCTCGAGTAGGACACGAGGGAGGGAGGATAGGAAGTTGATGTAAGCGGGAGTGTAAAGCCCCTTCTGCAAGTCGGATGTGATGGCTTGGAGGTTTTGCGCATTCGGTTCGAGGAGGTAGATGACTGGGACATCGGGGATAGGGTGCCTTGCGCCGCCAATGTGCCTGCGCAGCTCATGTTAAACATTGTATATCTTCGTGAGGCTCGTCGACTTACATGTGCATGGTTACGCCCATTGACCGCAAGTCGCTGACGCGCATAACACTGCTGATAACATCCCGACCGAGATCATCAAAGACCAGTACCTTCCAGATAGGGTTGCCATCTGCATCGAGGATAGGCGCAACAGGAGCGAGTAAACCATTGGCATGGGCTTCGTCAGTCTCGGAGGATTCGACACTCTCGTTCAAGTTGAGGATTTTCTTTAGCGACGCTGGGAAAAAATCAGTCAAAGAACGAGGGGCGCACTGAGTATTGAGCATCGCAAACCTATTTGGCGATCGCGCAGAGAGTTTCCCTTGGTTGCCATACTGGCAGATGACGTCGGGACGTCGAGAGCTTTAGGTGGTGGGTGATAGTGGGATGTAATTCAGGAGAATGGCCAGGTCGCTTGTTCACAGAGGGCTCGACTGTAGGAGGCAACGTAAGTCGAAACAAGTTATTGTAGCCTTAGAGAGAGGATCCTAGGTATAGAACTTCAAACCAATCTTCAAGTCAAGAAAACGTATCAATTAGGTTGATGGCAGCTTGAGGCCACGATCCAATACTACGGTTGCTGGAAAGCTTCCCCGATGGCGCGCAAGCTGGAAGCACGGACCGATTCAAGCGCCGATACGATTGGACATGGAAAGTGCCACGGTGCTGGGCCCGCTGATTTCTCAAAGGGGCACTTGCCAGTTCAGTTGCCCACCGTCATGATCGTGTTTGTGCCTGAAATATGGGGCCACATCATAGACAAACACGTCCAGGTCCGTTCTCTGAGCTCCATGCGAAATCGCCAGGGACTTCTCTTCATTCTCTTCGATCCGACGACACTTCATCAACCACCATCAACCATCGCGACAAACGCTGACTGGCGTTCAGCAGGTCAAACGCGTTTATATATAAGCTGCGCTTGGTATTTTAATTCCCATCTTTGTGCTCATCCTTCGGATCTGCGCCCGCGTCAGTCGCCTTGTCCTGGCGAACAACGGGTCAACCTTGTGCTGCTCTCTTTGCCTCTCCGACAGGTCACACCTCCGTTCGATAATGCTGTAAACACCACGCGACTTGCTCAATATACAGATGGCAATAGAGTTGCTCCGCATCTTTTGGTAGGAAGACGGACAGATTTACTGCACTGACGGAGCCTTATCTGAATCTAAGGGTATGCCCAAACTTGACCCCATTCCCTTTTCTACCCTGCACCAATCAACCACTTTACCTCTGTCGCGTCATTCTGCATGGCTCGGTCATACTGCCCACCATCATGAACCAAAGCAGCAGCATTGTATCTGTGATTTCTCTATAACAATGGAACCAACCACCACTTGGACTCTCTGCAGCATTTAAATTGCGAGATGAAGAGATGGTTACCGTCGTGGAGACTTGCTTGGAGATAAAAGCTCCTCAGCATCGTCTTCTAGGGGCGAAGCGCTGTGGCGGCTGGGTAACCCAGAGAGGTCCAGGTGACGAAAACCAGGCATCTACGATCTGGCCAGTTTGCAGGCGAACGCGCACCTAAAAAAGCTGCGGCACGAGTATTTGATGATATAAAGAGCATTCATTCATTCATTCAGAGTCAAAGTCAAAAAGGGCGTCATGGCTGTTGATCATCGTCTTTGCGACGTTGCAGGCGCCTGTCTTTTCAGGCGCTTGCTTGGGTACAGGGGCTGGAAATAACGCTGTCTTCAGCTCCAACTTCTGCTCAGCGGCACCCCAAGACAGCAACATCACAGGGACTACGCTACACTAAAATGCGGGTGCACACGCATCTAAAGGAAACAGTGGCTCCACCACCAAAGTCATTCCAGAATGCCACTACCTACTACCTATTTTCCAACAAAGCAATCTGAATTGCTTCAGAGATCACATTATTTCGACAAAGCCAATTTTTTTTTTAATAACTTTGGTTCGAGTTTATCATTCTCGATTTTTCCCCCTCGAGTTTCTTTGTCGACGAGCCTGTCGCACTCAATTCTTGTCCAACCTTTGATCAACCAGCCATACATACACCCTTTTGCTAAACCACCTAACGGCCTCTTAATGGAAGATGGATGGATGCTCTTTATCAACGCTCTCTACGCCTTAATCCTGCAGAAAACTCACGAGAATCCTCTTATACTATTTTCACATCACTTACTTCACTACTGACCTTCTAGTTCTTGTTGCAGACTTTGCTGATGGTTGTTTTTGCGTTCTCTAGACTTTCAGATTCATTCACCTTGTCCCTTTCTCCAAGACTTCGA